GATAGTTTTAAAACCAAAAAACGTGAGGCAGTAAGACATTTGGGAGATCCCAGAGTTATTCAGAGTAGTAAATTATCCATCTCAGAATCAGCTGAAGTAGGTGTGAGAGTCTCTGGCCATAGACAAGAAGGCAGTGGCATGGCTTCCCATAGAAGCTACAAACGGAAAAGACAGGCACTTACGAGCACGTGTAGATAGATGTGTGCGCATACGCACAACAGATTATTAAGCTTATTAGAGCTTAATACCGGTCCCAACTTCTAGGAAGACAATTATTTTAGATGTATCTTTGTTTTTCTTTTTTTATTAATCAATTTATGTATCTTTGTTTTTCTTAGAAATTTTTTTCCTTTAAGTTATATGTCAGGTTTATGTTCACCCCAAAATAATTGTTACATCCATTTCCTCCAGAATAGAAGTAATTTTCTCAATCATTAAATCATTTGAAAATAAATGAAAAAAAAATTAACTTTGTAATACTATGCCCTCATGGAACTATTGTTAGAATTTTGTATTTAAAATATATGTATATTTGTAATCAAACCTTGTACTCTTGCAGTCTTATATTATTTAGCACAAGAAAATTCTAGATGCCAAAAGTATTTGGCACATAGTAGGCACTGAGTAATTACTGAAGAATTAAGTATTAACATGTTTCATGTAATTTTTGACTATAAGTTTTAATTAGCCATCAGTAGCTATAATAGTAAACTATTATTCTTTTATTAGATATTAGGGTTTTTTCTGCTTTAAAATACATTTCATATGTTTATGTATTAGTTTGTTTGTTTTGTTTGTGTTTTACATATTAGCTTTTCCTGTTGCATGTAGCGTTTTCTCTGCATAAGATTATTTATTTAGGACAGATAAACAGAAGTGATTATGCAACAAATGAATTGTTACTTAGAACTCTTGATTGCAAGGGACAGAAACACATTGGAGAAAGGTTTTGGCCCATATCACGGTGGAGTCCAGAACAATCCTCTTCCGGCCTCCCACAGCTTTCTCCTTTGCTCACTTACACAGCCAAGACTGCGTCTTTGCTTCCCGCTGGCCAGGTCCTGCCACCTGGTGGCAACCATGAGCATTGGCGATTGTTTTATAGTTTATAAAGCTGAAAGGTTATCTGAGCTAGCTAGTATCTTATGTCTATCAGTGAAATAATTACTGTGACCAGAGACATGAAGTATCCATATTTTTATCATTCTTGATAGCCAGTGCCACATCATTTCTTTTTTTTTTTTTTTT